TTAAAAGAATTAAACACCAATGTTTTTGTAAGATATTTACATCAATCAAGAACATTCGGTAGACTGCTTTCCCACTGCTGTTTCAATCCTGAAGCTTGTTTCAATTCAAAACTAATTATGACATTGCATATTCATATTGAAACAAACTATGATAAAGGTAATATTATACAACAAATGGCAAGGTCACCAGAGTTCAACTATGTTTTTATCTTCAGGTGCGAATACTTTGTTATGGCCAACCAGTTACTGTGCACACATGCATACCGAAAATGTAAACCAGTAAGATAGCATATAACCCCCCCCCCTCCCCTAATCAGATTGCCCTGCATCAGTTCTAATTTTCAATGCCTTTAAAGTTTCTTGAAGTGAATTTAAATCATGTAAAAGTGATTGCTTCCAATCACGTAAATATTCATTGCAAAATTCAATTTATGAATTTTTTCAACATATAGTCTTTGCTTTAAAAGACGTAATTTTGCTAAACTACCATCTCCTTCTTTTGCTTTCTAGTTTCTCTTGCCAGTGTTCAAAGTCATGTTTAAAGAAAGTAAATAAAAGTGTTCTTACCAAATGAACAGAGTTTGCTGTAGACAGAACACCATGAAGAAACACAACCCATGTGCAATTGCACAACACAACCATGCAAAGCAGTTGTAAGTATTTCAACATAAATTTCCATTGAAATCAATTTCAAATCTCTTAATATGAATAATTAAAGCCACAAGTAGTATCAGTTGGGCCCAAGCTTTCAGGCATCTGTTTCATAATTAATGAGGTCACATGTTGCCATATTTTCACCATGCTGAATACTCAAAATCTATTATTTATAATGGCATGTCAGTCTATTAAGACTGGATGGGAACTAAATCAGTGTTCTGTTGAAGTTGTTTGTCCTTACATTAGTGCTGTGTTGAATAGTGAAGTACATATCATACAGAAAATGTACTGTTTCAGGCTTAGTATGCTCTACTGTTGAAGATGCACATTTGATACAAGTACAGTCTACATATTTAAAAAGGTTGAAATATTTGTAATGGACAGAAGCATTCCACTGCATCTGAGTGAAAGCCGATTTCATTTTGAATTAATGCCTTTTAGGTAAAACACATGTTTCCACTTATTTGGAATTTCATTTTTTCCATAGGAATACATACAAACTGAAAACAAATATGGGAACAAATTTCTTTGCTAAATCCTTCTACAAATTACATACAAATTGCAAAAACCACCTACTGAGGCACAAAGACTTCATAAAAAAAGTACACTGCAACATATTGTAAAAGGAAACCCTTAATTTTGTATGGTTATGGCAGTTACTGCATATCAATACCAGTTAGAATATGTGACAATTGTTATGAAATATGATTAGTAACATTATTCTGCCTGTTACTACAATGGGGCATGTATGCATGATTGATTGGAAAGTGTCTTGTGTGGAAATTACAAAAAACTTTGGAAAAATTGTATGTAGGGCAGCAAGATCTATTAAGGTCTAGAAGAGATCTTTTTTTCAATGCCTTCTTCCCAATATGTGTATAAATATATTTAAAAAGGCTATTCTTTTGTTTCAGGGTTCAGAACAACTCCTCAACTGGAGAAAAAAAAAACATTTTGCTGAAGAGAATGAGGAAAGGGTATTTAATTTTGTATAATATGTGTAATTTATCCAATGCTAGATTATTAACTAATATATCCAAGCATCAATGTATCATTTTGCAGGCTGATTGAAAACTTGTCAATGAACATTTCATATCACGTCTCCCAGTGTAAAATTGTTTTTGTCATTGCATACTCTTGTAAATGTTCACATTTGGGGTGAATTGTATTTAATATTTCATTTGCAATTTGTGCTACTGTTTGTTACATGATATATTTATGATACATGTACTACCAGTATTTTATTTTTCAATATTTGTGAGGTGTGTATATGGTTTGTTTGTGCAACCCAGTATACCGGTACTACACGGAAGGTTATAATAGTTTCACTATGTTATTTTTCATTAAAACATGTATGTATATATAATAGATGTTACTGCCTTATTTACAGTTTTACCACTAAATAGTATTTCTAGTAGCAAGAAAGATGGGTATATCATTAAAAACAGCTGATGAGCTTTGCCAGCAAACAGAGATGCTAAAAAGATAAGGTAACTAAATACAAATCTGTTTGAATTTGATTGTATCTTATAAGAACACTTGAGAGAATACATTAACAAAATTATCTGTTTTGTCAGCAGGTGGGAAAAGCCAGACTTCAACAGTTTGAACATACATTACCACAATCCATGAAAAAATAATTATTTTTGGAAGTGATAGAATTATTAGAAGAAAAACAAAAATTATCTTTTGAGTTGTCAAATTATCAGAGGTATATTTTGAGTAGTCGAGTTATAGGAGTATAATTCTAGTAACTAAACTGTAGGATTGGAAATGAAAAAAATTTACTGCTTCAAGAAAAGAATGCAACAGATGTTAGCGCTACATTTACCATCCACAGAGTTTGTCAAGTTTTGTAAACAATGTATTAGTTCATTCATGCCACTGTAACAACCATGTGCTGAAAAAAAAAGTTGTGATTTGCAATAAAAATAATAACACATACACTCGCTCAATCTTTTTCTGATACTAATTTTTTGGTACCACTCATCTCATTTTGTAAGAGTTGGGTAGCTCTGAGAATGACTGCAAAAGTGTCGCTTAATAGTTTTAATTTAATAATTTGCATTCATGTCACCATTAGTTGTTCATGAATATAACAAATTAATATGACTTCAAAAGTGTCCCCATGTCTTCAAAAGTGTCCCTTAATAGTTTTAATTTAATAATTTGCATTTATGTCACCATTGGTTGTTTGTGAATATAACAAAATAATATGACTTCAAAAGTGTTCCCATGTTTTCATAAGTGTCCCTCAATAGTTTTAGTTCAATAATTTGCATTTATGTCACCATTAGTTGTTGGTGAATATAACAAATTAATATTATTTCAGAGTGTCTCCATGTCTTCAACTAAAATGATTGAGGGACATTTTTGAATAATTTGGAGTTGTCCTAGTTCCAAATTATTCGATGAGCCATTGGATTTTGCACTCACTAGAAATAAATATTTGAACTGATTTTCAAGTAACACTTTCAAATTAGCCAGTCACTAAGTCTTAACCATCTCTATGCGAAACTTTTTTTTGTCTGTTTAAAATTCATTGTGCGACCTGTATATATTATTTAATTATAATCTAACGTTTATTTACCAATATATATCTACTCGGTGTTTAGTGTCTGCTAGCATTGTTGTCATTTCACTATGCTGGCTTACTACAGCGTCACATGGTACACACCGAGCATAACCCCCTATCTTACTGCATTTCCGCTCTGGGACACTTTTGAAGTCAAGGACACTTTTGAAGTCTTAACAGACGTCCCTATAGTGCTGAGTTGTGTTATGATTGAGTTATGTTGTGTTGCCTAAACTGCATGCACGCTGAAATTGAATATTCATATGTCATTGAACTTGGCCCAAGTCAACGGTCCGTACCTTGAAATCCAGGGTTCTTTGCAAAAATTGCAAAAACGAGTGAGGCATTCAAATTCGGCAACAAAAGCCGAAATCGACAAGGACGAAATCGACGACGAAACGACTTCCATTGCGTGTTGCCAGTACGTTAGCACATGGTGACGTCACCATGGTATTTTCGTTACGCAAATGTCATGAATATTTAATTAGCTCAGCGACCGTGCAATAGGCTGTGTGGCAAGGGGTAACTAAAAAGCACTTTTTGGCGTTAAATTTATTTTCTGTGACCATACAACGACTATGATTCATACTAGTATATATTTCAAGTGTAATATAAGCCATAAAATAGTAGGCATTTCACAGTCACTTTAAATTTCGCAGAATCGTGTATATAAATAGATCTCTTTCACTTTCATGTTAAATGGACGGGGATTGTGGTTGAAACCCACCATACCTTAACAATTACAATGGTTCACAGTCCATTCTATGAGAGGAGTGCATTTGTGGGTTTTCCAGTTATGTTCCGTCACTGATTCGAAGAAATTGTGACGCGTTCTTAGCGCCGCCCGTACTAGGCTTTCAGATGAAAATTGCTGTCACTAGACAAAATTATACGTATATAGACAGACAAAACTTGAGTAATCCTCACTTTAACCATGAATTGAGACGACCGGTACATGGTTGTACCTCTGATGCATGCTGCAAACTAACGTATCTCGTATTTAATGGCTGAACTTAGTGGAAATGGACATATAATGTCCATGGAAAACAAAAGAAATCGTCACTATTTTACTACAACAGTAGTATTTTTAGGTATCCAAACTTTGATAATTCTGTTTATTTACCCAATAGTCATTGGCATCGTAGTAGTCTCTTTCCAAAACGATATTATGAAACTGGAGATATCTATCGATAATTTGAAAACTCACAAAGATTTGCAGCATGCATCAGACACAGAACCAGAGACAGAGCAGCGATGCACATGCTCGGAAACAGTAAGCGAAAATGATGTCACCACCCAGGTTGGGAGCAGTACTCTTCGTTGCTGCACAACAGATGAAGACAGTGTCAGGATGGTAATAATCGAAATATTTCATTATTTATTTCATTATTCATTTTCCTATTTTATATAATCATCACAAACATTGACGAACCACGATTCGTCAATGAGGAAATGCATACATTTGAAGCGCGAAATAGTCTATA